GAGCCGGCTGCACCCGGAGCCCCGCGGGAAGGGGCTGGACACAGACTCGCCTCCCCATCGATGCCCGCGTGTGACCGGGCCAGGGTCCTTGCTTTGCCCTCCCACCACCATGCCCCGTGCTCGGGAGCCTCGGACACTAGCCTGGCCCTGCCCTGCACGGAGCGGGCAGCGGCACGGCCTGGCCACCTGGGCCGCAGGGCTGGCCGTGCTGCGATGCCCGGGCTGACGGCCTCCCTGCACCCCTGACCGGGTCCCGCAGCATCCCACGAAACCCCGGCCAGCACCTCCAACCCCCCAGGTCCAGCCCATCCCGGGGCCATAACAAACCAGCGGGCAGCGTGGGGGGCATGGGGCCGGCGTGCCCGCCCCAGCAGCTGGAGGCCGAGCGGGGAGAGGCCAGGAGCCTTGATGCAAAGCAGAGCCTATCTTCTTCTGGAACGCTATCTATCTCCCTCCACCGGCTTATCCGGCCCCTGCCACGTGCCCGGAGCGTGCCTGCGGCAGGGGGGGGCCGCACCACCGTTTCGCGGCTGCCAGGCCCCCGAGTCCCTGACTCCGGGGCTCGGTGCCGATAGCACGGGCTGCAATCGCGACGGCGAGAGCCTTCCAGCTGACACGGCCTTGCACCCGCATTCCTCCGACGCCGCGCACGCCTCCCGCCCCCCGGGGCCCAGCGGGCCCGCGGCATCCCCACACGCGGAGAGGGGCAGCACCGGTGGTCTCCTCCCCGGGGACCTGGTTGACATCACCATTATGCGCGGTTGTGCATAACCGGGACTCGGATGCCGCCTCCCGTGCTGCATCCTCTTGGCAGCTGCCAACAGCGCGTGCTCCTGGGTCAGGATGACAGCCTTTTGTTTCCTGCTCTGGCTTTCGTGCCTCATTTTCTTCAAGGATAAGAGCACTTTATGGGAGTCGTCATTGTGAGGAGGTGAGGGGGGGACCGCGCGTCTCTCCAGCGCTCCTTCCCTCTTTCACAGCCGAGGAGCGGGGTCAGGAGGCAGGAGGGCGGGTGGGGAGGTAGCGACCGAGGCTGCAGGCTCCATCCTGGGCACGCTCGGGGACCAGGAGTGCCAGGGAGAGGAGGCAGCAGCAGCCGCGTGCTCTGGGCACAGACGTGCAAGCAGGTGCCGACGGGGCAGCCCCTTCGCCCCGCAGAGGTCAACGCTGCCCTGGGTCTTCGTGGGCCGTGGCTGCCAGGCCCGGGCTGGTCCAAGTTTGTGTCTCTTTCCAGCTCCCACAGCGGCAGGACCTCCCAGAGTCGCCCGCCACATCCACGGGGCCCCAACCGGAGTGCCCTCCTCCTGCAGCAATGTGCCGGGGTCTCCACCGCCCGTCCCTGCCCCGGGGCTTCGGCGGCCATGCTCCCCTCCATGTAATACCCAGCAGGGCTCTCGCAGGGCTCCTCTGCACCCATCCCATCCCGGCAGGGCATGGTCCTTCCCTCGGGTCCAAGCAAAGTGGAGCTGCCCGTCTGCTCGTCCGTGCCACGAATCCATCCCAGGGGCGCGTGGTGCACCCGGCGTCCCTCGGACAATTGCTCGTGAAACTCCCATCCCAGCGGGTCTGTGCACAGACACCGGGCGCCGCGCCGCCGGGGCAGACTCTGGGTCTTCTCGGAGCGCCACGTTGTGCCACCGGCATCCGTTCGCTGCCCAGCCCCGCTGGTGGCATCGGTGGGACGACACCGGCCCCCGACGGCGACTCTCCCTGGAGAGAGGAAGGCAGCCCAGCCTTGAAAGCGACTCCGGAGAGGTCAGGAGAGCAGGACTGTGATAGAACAGCCTGACAAACGCAGCTCGCAAAGTCCTTGGGCCTGATAATGTATGTTCCAGGCAATGTTGACACTGGTGATCCACCAAAGATCAGGTTAACAAGTCTGACGTTGGTGACAGCGTGATTTGTTCTGCGCCGGCTCTGGATTCATAGAACCGCCGGCCTTCGGTGATAAACTATTGCACCGCGCACACGAGGCAATGGCACTTGTCACCGGCCAGCGCCGGGAGATGAAAAGGAAGCGGAGCTCGCATCAAAATGCAGCGGGCAGCAGGGCCGGGGCTGGAAATTAAACCGTGCCGGTACTTTTCCCCGCTCCAAACTGCCTGTGCGGCAGAACGATGCCACGGGGCCACCTCGCACCTCCGCCCGGCACGGCACGGGCCGGCCACGCGGTGCAACCAAAGAGCTATCTCGCACCGCAGCGCTGACCACGGAGCCGCGCGGGCTCGAGCAAACCCGTGCCAGCCAGCCGACGGTCGGGCAGCATCGTGGAGGAGGACTACTTTTCCCCGCTCCAAACTGCCTGTGCGGCAGAACGATGCCACGGGGCCACCTCGCACCTCCGCCCGGCACGGCACGGGCCGGCCACGCGGTGCAACCAAAGAGCTATCTCGCACCGCAGCGCTGACCACGGAGCCGCGCGGGCTCGAGCAAACCCGTGCCAGCCAGCCGACGGTCGGGCAGCATCGTGGAGGAGGACGCCGCCTGCAAACGAGAGGAATCGACACGGTAGAAACAGCCAGAGAAACGCAGCCGCTCCGCAGGCC